TCTTCACAGTTACACTATTCTGATCCTATAAATTCGAGAACCCAGTTTCTGCAGCACTGTAATCACTGATTCTTAGCAAGTGGAGAAGATTTTAGGCTACAGGCCACCAGATAGGATCCCAAGCACTGAGTCAGTCATGCCACTACTCAGGAAAAGACACAAACAATTAAAGAGGGGCAATAAGTGTGGGGTCTGGGGCAGTATCCAGCTGGCAAATCCCCCACAGAGCATTTGAATGATCTTCCTAGGACATCTGAGAAGTAAAATTCTGGTCATCTCTCATAGTGTGATCCCAGACCTTCTCCAGTGCCTTTAGAGTTCAATAAATATTTTTTTGAATGAATGAATAAGTTCTTTCCACCTGTAAACTGGAGAAGTCTAGGAACCTACTCTACAGAAAGACTTGCAGAAGTGAATGAGGATGTCCGCTGCAGCATTGTTTGCAACAGCAAAACTCTGCAATTGACTCAAATGTTCGTCAACAGGGGACTGGTTAAATGGATGCCGTCAGAGAGGCAGCACAGCATGACAGTTAAGGGCACAAGATCTGAGCCAGGACACTAGGGATTTGACATTCATCAGCACAGTCCCTGCGTCTGCAAAACAGGGAACACCAAAAGACCGCCTCATAGCCTTGCAAGGAGGGCATCCACAGTTTCTGAAAAGTTCCTTCTCCAAAAGCCTCTTTTGTATTCTTCCAAAGTTTATTGCATATAGAAGCACATATTTTCCTTTTTTAAAACTCACAGTAAATACTCAAATCTTATCTATCACTGTAGCCATTCACACAATGGAATATTATGCCACTGTCAAAAAGAAAGAGGTAGTTATAGGCTCTGATTTGAACATATTTTAGATTAAAGAAAACAAGTGTCAGAATAGAATTCCAATCACAAAATAATTTCTGAGGAGTTGATGAGGGGGATTTGCCTTTTGACTTGAAACACTTTGTGTGTATGTTTTAAAACTAGCTTTTCTTATTATTTTTAGAAGGAAAAAATCAAGAGGGAAGAGTTCTAAATCGAGAGAAACTTGGGAACAGCAGCGGGGAGAAGACCCTCTTTCTACAGGCTACAGATTCTTCTCCCCAGTCCAGGATGACACTTCCTGCTGACCCTCCTCACAGCACTCTTTCTACCTGACAGCTTGCCACTGAGCGACGAGACACACATTTCCTTGGTACCGAGCCTTGTTATGTGTTCCTAAAATAATTCCTGCAATGTAGTCAAAAACCAAAGTTCTGCTTCAGATGCTCTCACTTAGCGAATAAATCATGGAAACGGAGGTTGTCAAACTGGAAGGGACCTTAGAGATGATGTAGGCCAACCCCTTCATTTACAAAGGGAAACAATGAAATGTGTTCCTGAGAAGTTAGCTGTCAAGCAATTTTGACAAATAAAATTTATTTTCCAGGGAAAAAGTCAGAGATGCACCCTCACAGTGCAGAATTTTACTATAAGCATCTATTAATGTGGTACATCTGAAATCTTTCTACATTGCTGGTGAGAGTAAGATTTAGTAAACTGTTTTGGAGGGGGATTCGACAATATCTCCCAAAGGCGGTGGGATGATTCCCTCCTAGATATATATTCATAGTAATAGACATAAGAATATCTACACACAACAATCATAGTAGACCTAAGTATGAGCCAGAAACTGGAAAGAGCTCAACTGCCCATCAAGGGCAAATGGATAAATAAATGGTGGCGTATTCATGAAATGGAATGCTACACGGTAGTGAAAAATGAGTGAATCAGAGCCACGTGTTATAGTGTGGATAATTTTCACAAATATAACAGTAAATAGAAAACAACAAGTTGCAGAAGAGTACATATCATACCAGGGATATAAATTTTTAAGACATATAAAGCAGCAGTATGTGTTATTTAAAGACACGCACATATGTCACACAAGTATAAATAAATGCATGAGAATAACAAACATGAAATCCAGGATCGTGGTTACTTTGGAGAGAGGGGGATGGAGCTAAAATAAATGTGTAAGATGCAAATGCTGCACTCAAAATGACAAGATTGTTCCTTCAAGCTGTTTCATTTTCCTGCCACTAGTTCCCGGGCAGGGAACCTGCTGGAGAAGCAGCGGTTGGGCACAGTGGGCTGGGGATCCGGAGAAATGGGTTCCACTCCCTCAGATATTCATCGGCTACGAGGAGAGCAATTCCCTTCACGTCTCAGGGTTTTTTTTTTACATTTAAAAATGCAGTGTTGTGGAGAAAGACAAATACCACGTGATTTCACTCATATGTGGAAGATAAAGAAACAAAGCAAATGAACAAACAAAACAAAACCAAAAACAAACTCTTAGATTCAGAAAACAGACTGGTGGTTGCCAGAAGGGAAAAGGGCTGGGGTGGGTGGGTGAAATGAGTAAAAGGGGTCAACTGTGTGGTGGTGGATGGAAACTAGACTTTTGGTGGGGATCATAATAGAGTGTAGACAGATGTGGAGGTATGGTGCTGTACGCCTGAAACTTACATAATGTTATAAACCGATGCTACTTCAATCTTTTTGTTAAATGCTGGATTGGGCTAGATTATTTTACAATTTTTTTTTAACAAATGACTATTTCATCCTTTTTTTTTTTTTTGAGCAGCAATTCCCAAAACTGTGCCTGCAAGATGCATATGTGTTTCAATGTAGAAAAAAGTATGCCTTGCTCAAATGTTTGGTACGTACAGGTGACCCCTCCCTCCTTCCCCCAGTACCTCAAAGTAGAAAGTTCCCATGTGGTATAATTTGGTAGATTTTTGTGGGGGTCTCAAAACACTATTACCATTAGTTTACATGGAAAATCTTTTGAGCATTCCCACACCCCGCCAAATAACCTACCAAATTATCCCAAAGAACAACAGTTCACTTTAGGATAGTGAGGGAAACCTGTACTGAGGTGAGGGTTATACAAAATGAAACAGATTTATTTTCAGCAGTACTTCTCTGAGCCTTTAACAGGTTTCTAAACATTGTTGCTCTCCAAGAGGAGATTCAGTGATGAAGCTGTCTCCAAAAAACATTGAAACTAGAGTGCACCCTACCACCCCACCTCCACTCTTATTTTAAAACAGACTCTATTAACATTCCCACAGAAGAGTGTTCTGTGGAGCATTGGTTTGGTAATGGCTGCCCTAGAAGAATTTAGCTCATGAGCTAGTTCAGTTCCTGGTGAGTGTTTAGAAAAACCTTTGTAAGGGAGGAATATGGTTTCATAGTGTAACTTCCACAGAGTGGGCTTCCTGTGGGTGAATGTCCCTGGCAAATTTAGAGCACATCTTCTTGGACATCATCAGTGAGAAGAGAGCCCATCTCATTTGGCATCGTGGCAGAGTCGGCATCAGACCTTTGGACAACTGGGTTGGAGGGGCTTGTGTCCCAGATGGGCTCTCCGTAGCTGACCCCGGGGTCTTTGTTAAGTTTGCTGCTTCGAGGCACAGACCCATCTTTTAAGGATGGCAGCACCAAAGGGTGCTCTGTCCAGAACTCAGTTACCTGGAATGCCCTCAGGAATAGGTCTCACAGGAACGGGTGTCCTTTCCATGTGCCTTCAACCCCTAAGAATAGTTTGCAGGAGGTAGAACTGCAGGACAGGGGCTGGGCCACCCAGGAAAAGAGGGGCTCCGTTTTCTTCCACGGAGAGGACATTTATCACTTCCACCTGCAGCCCTGCCTTTGCAGGGGAGTTTCTTTGGAAGGTCCCCAGATTCTCTGAAACCACCCCTCCCCCGCCCCCGCCCAAACCCTGGAGGGAAACTCTGCTGAGGTTTGAGGCTCTTGCCAGGCATTTTAAAAGGTGATTGACCCATGTACTTTCAATCCTAAAACAAGGATTTCTTTGGAAAAGTTGGGAACTAAAGTCAACTCGACATAGAGGTTTCTAAAGGCTTTTGTTCTTTTGAACAATCAAAAAGAAGATGTAAGAGACAAGAATGTTCTTTTCCAGACAGCATGCACCGTGTTCATGGAAGCTGGCAGCTGTTGTGGTTGCCCCAGCTCTGCCTGCCTCCACCCAGCCCAGCCCAGCTCAGTTCAGCTACCTGCTTGGACCCGACACCCATGAAGCCTGCCCGACTCTAACTGCCCACCAGAGGACTCATAAGCCCCAGCCACCCCCACTCTCTCAGGCCCACTCCCAGGCTGGGGCAGGGCCTGATGTCAGAGGAAGGCAGAAAGTGCAGAGGAAGCAGGTGTTTGACTCCAAGAGAGATAAACCTTATTTCAAAGCACCCCTGGCTATGCTCGTCATAGTACAGCGGTACCTCCTGGTGATGGGGGTAGAAAGGAAACCAAGGGGAGAAGCTGCAGAGAAATGCAACCGTGAAGGTAGATGGAGCCAGGAATTGCATGAAGAGACTCAGCTGCTCTGCCAACCCCAGGTTGCTAGGTCAGAGCCGGGTGCACTTCAGGGGTGCACTCCTGTGTCCTGTCTGCTGACCAGAACACTCATCTGCTGGGGGCGGCTGCTCCAAGGTCCCACACTTGCTCTCTCCTCCCTTTCCGGCCAATGCTTTTCACACCTCGTTCCCTTCTCTCCCATTGGGAAATCCACCCTTGGGCAAAAAGCATGTCATGGAGAACAGACAAAACAAATAAACAAGTAAACAAAAACCCCTCTCCTCTCAGAGCTGCAAACTGTAGCCCTTCCTCTTAATCATTTGTAGAGCACAGTTGCTGAAAGGGCTTGAGTTTCTATTCCTGATTGTCTTTTTTCCCCTCTATGAATCCAAGCAGTAGCTACTTCATTGTGGGCATTTTTAATGCAAGTTTTACCCAAAGGCATATGCAGTCAGGCAGGCGCGTGCACGTGCGTGCGCTCGCGTGTGTGTGTGTGTGTGTGTGTGTGTGCGCGTGCGCGCACACACACACACACTCTCTCTCTCTAACACACACACACACACACAAAACCTCTGGAGCTTCCCCTCCCTCAGATCTTTCCCCTCAGCCAGCCGAAAAAGGGTGAGGTTTGGAAATCATTTCTCTGTGGCCTACCTTCTGATTCCTTCAGGTCTGAGGAGCAGGCGGCAACTGGGAGCTGGGAGGCCCGGGCTGCCTCTGTGAATCAGCAAAGAAGTCCCTGAGACAGGGATGCCGACAGCTGCTGTGTGCACACTCCCCCTCTGTCTCTCCCACCTCCCTGCCCTCCTTCTCCTCCCTCCCCTCTCAGAGCTGCTCTGTGTTGCTATGCAATCATATCACTGGGACGAACAGCATCACTCCGACCTCAGGCAAAAATACCCTTGACTGGGCAAAAGCAGAAAGAGCAAGGACAGTTTTGCAAAACTACCAGAACCTTGGCGGCTCTCAGAGATTTCAATTCATTAGAAGCAGAGCAGGGAAGCGGAAGAGGCTGAGAGGCAGAGGGGGTGAGGAGGAGAGGCTTCCACTGGGGAGGAGGAGACAAAAGACGCCCGGAGATCAATACAAGCTGCTGAGTGAGGAGCCTGGGCCCCGACTTGCACAGATGGAGCCCAGAGCCAAGGCCAACTTTGGAGCCAGCGGCTGGCAGGGGCCCTCAGTAGCCAGTCCAGGATTCAGTTTCTGTGTTGAAGGTTGAAACACTCTGCTCTAGAATTGTCATTGGTACCCAAGGTAGAGTCTTGGGCCCAGGGCAGTCTGCCAGTCACCTCTAAGTTCTGTCCTCACCCCCTCTTAGTTCTATATGTAGCGAGAGCTTCGACAGTGAGGGAAACAAATGGACCTTGAATGATTTCAGAAAATCCACTTCTCCCCTCAGCAACTGTCACCCCTGTGGAAGAGAGGATAATATGAGCTCCAAACACCCCCAAGAGACCTGGGAGAAGTCACTGAAGGATGCAGGGGAATTATATGCCTTCTCAGAGAGCCTGGCACATAGTAGGTTACTTAAAAAATATTTGTCAAGTGAGTGGATTGCATGGATGGATAGGTACATGAAGAGCAGTCAGAAAGCCTCTACTCCTGTCCTGCTACACACTTAGAGCCCCAACAGCTCCAGGCCAGGGCAAAGGATAAAAATAACATTTTTCTTTCTTCCCTCCATTTTCTAGAACAGAATGTATATGCGACAGAGAAACAGCCTGATTTGGGAGCGGGTTGCTCAACTTCACTGATTTGCCTCTAAAAGCTCTGATGGCACTTGAATTTAGATCAGAAACTACTTCCTGGTCCAAAGGGCCTGGGACTGGTGTTTAAAAATGTTTATGAAGACTGAGAACCATCATCATCATTATTGAAATCTTTCAGCATGTGTATGAATGTGTGTGTGTTTCCTTTTGAGATGAAATTTTAAGAACTTAAGCTGCTAGCTTCAGTAAAAGGTGAGTGATAAGGCGGGCGTGATGGCCTCTTCAAAACAAGCAAACAAAATGGAAAACAAATTGCCCCCACCCCCAAGCTAAGCTAGGCCTGTGCAGCCCTTCCTGACTGGCCCAAAGTGGTAGCAGCCAGGCCCCCAAGCAGGTGTATGAAAGGGCCTTTGATTTCTGAAAGGGCTCTTGGAAACACATCAGTCTTCTCAATCCACACACCCTCAACAGGGCATTTGTTAGCTATCCAGCCTAGTTCAGACCTGGCCCTGAGTCTTAGTCCTGGCAACTTGCAGGGTTTCTCAACATCCAAGATACCAGGAAACCTTTGCAACTGACTTGGAATGACTTGGGAGTGTGTTTGGGGGCAGGCGGTGCCTAGAAGAATGACCAGAGGAAATGTTGGAGCGGCCTGGTCAGTACAGACGATGGGCGGAACTTGTCCCCCTGACCTCCTGAAACTGCCCAAACCAGAGGCGACAACCCCTGCACGGTGCCTTGGCCTGAATCCTGCCCCTGGCATCCTGAGTGAAGGGATTGCTGGGAAGGGGCAGAGCTGGGCAGCCATTTTTGAGAGTCCTTACAAGAAGGAATGGCCCACGGGCTCTCGGTCCTTTGTTTGTAGAAGCTCCTGGAGAAGGCAGCTGCTGTGCTGGATGGTAGATCTTTGTGTCTCTGCAGGTTGGGGCGGGGGTGAGCCGCCCGCCCCCCCCACTTCAGCAACTGCAGACCTCTGGCATATCCTGTCCGCTCCTGTAGCTACAAATCCATCTCACACCACTGACTGGTAACTGGACCTTCTCCCTCTCCCTGTATCCTGCTGGTTAGAATAAATTGTATCTTTTCCTCTTTTGCAGCACCAAAAGCCCTTTTGTTTGCATTTATAATGGTGGGTAGCCAGACCCAGAACTGGTGAGAGAGGTCCTGAGCCAATGACAGTTTTTTTAGACCCTTTGCCCGGTAACAGGAACACTCTGAGAAATTGTTTGGGCTGGCACAGACACAGAACAACTGTGACAGACACACAGCAAACACATGGGAACCTGACTCATGGCTCACCTCTGGCACCCGCTCACCAGCAGCCAAACAAAACCAGAGTCTAGGTCTAAAAAGAGGAAGGAGGGTGAGCAGACGCGGCTCCGGCTCCCCACATTGACTGAAGTTGGGCTTGCCTAGATCACAAGGAACACTTGGAATAATCCCTTACTTTCTAGATCTAGACAAAGCATTCAGGCCACAGATACAAAAATACAGTTCCAGTCTCTATTAAAATAAACCCACAGGGCCTCCCCTGGTGGCACAGCGCTTGAGCACTGGGCTATGAGGCTGCCCGCAGCCTCCTCAGCGCCTGTTCGATCCCCGGCCTCAGGCGAGGTTCCCACATGGTGCGCAGACCTCTGCTGCCGCCCGCTGCTCCCCTCAGCAGTGTACTTCGTCAGTCTGCCTGCTCTGCTCTCCCCTCTGGCTCTGGTGAATTCTCTCACCCTCCCGCGCTTCTGACTGTACCCAGTGCTTGTATAAATAAATAAATAAATCTTTAAAAAAAAAAAAAAAACACAGAGTTTGCTTTGGGGGATATATAACAAAAAGCTTCCCAAAACGTCTCTCTCACAGATCTCATCATAGTGGAAAAGACACCACCCCACTCCCACTCTCCCCACCCCAGTTCCTTTTCTTAAGGCACTAAGACTGCTGTGAAAACGAAAATACTACCTCTGAGATTAAAAAAAAAACATTAACTCATCAGGTAGCAATGAATGAGAAAGTTAGGAAATGGGTACAGATAGTTAGGGACATGGTGCCCCAAGTCCATTTATCAATCTGAACAATCAGTGGGAACCAGGAGGGTGCACCCCCAAGCCCAGGCGCCCAAGTCCATTCATCAGTCTGACAGTGGAACAATCATGGAATCAAAGGGATGCCCCCCAACCCAATTAAAAATGGAATGTTCCAAACACCAACATTTTATAGCTAAGGGCAGTGAAACATAAGTGACATGCCCAAGGTCACATGGCTGATGTTTTCTGGAGCTAAGACATAACGTAGCTCTCTCTGGGCAATAATCACATGGTTACCCACTGCGCTATACTGCCTCCCTTCGTGTAGTGGTAACCTGATCTGATGTCAGACCCACGCAAGTGATTGACACTGTGACTAGGGTAGAAGAATTCCCCAGATAGTTTTTTCTATCCTTTGTGCATTTCTCAATTACATCCTCTACTCAAAATATTTCCCTTTCCTTTAGAAGTCAGAGACACAGGGACCATAGAGATCAGAATTCCCCGCCCCCCCCCCCCCGCCTCCTTTCTCTCTCTCTCTCTTCACTCACCCCCAGCTTCCCCTCATTCCAAGTGGTCAGAACCCACAAAATTTGGGGGTAAGTCTATGGATGGGGCACGAGAGGGAAAAGACATGACGAGGTGGGTGGAGCTCTCCAGTTTGCTGTTGTTACTGAATGAATCACGGTGAAAGGGGAGGAGCATCGCAGCATAGTGAATGGCACCATTTTCCCTGCTCCACAGCCATCTTGCTCTACAACTCCCAGCAGGACATTAACCAGACTTCCTGAATGGGGGGCAGGTGGAAAGGAACAAGCTAGATACTTAGTGAGGTAGAACTGACTTGAAGGGGAGACATGTGGAAAAGGGACATTTGACAGATACTTAGGGAAGAGTCACATGGGTGACAGACATGTTAGAAGGCTGCCCCTGGTTCTTGGCAGAGACAGTGGCAGCTATTATCTTGACCTCATGGTGGAGTATATGGCACATTTTGAATTTGGGATCTTTCCTTCTATCCCAGCTTTCTGAGAGCTGCCTAGCCCCCCCTTTTTGTGGTTCCCCACCCGAAGTGACCTTAGACTCGTGGCAAGCTTTGGGGCCTCAGTCACCCCATTTTGGGCTGAATCTGTTTGGCTGGGCATTTGCTCATGAGGGGATGAATAACTTTTGGATTTTGCTGGTACTTGAAATAAAGTCTTCTCTCTATGGAACCAATTAAAGATCATTCACACTGAGAATCTGTTGTCTTTGCCTTTGCGTGCATGGATGGCCAAACCCTTAGAGCATGCACCCTTAATAATTTAGGGTCCTTGTGTACCCCTTGGTTGTGTGCTTACACTCTGATCCCCATACAGCCTTCCGTGTCTCTCTATTCGTTTCTACTACCTGCTTAACTCCTATGGGCTTCTCACTACACTGTCTCAGAGGCCACTGAAGGTGCATTCATTACTGTTGTTGGTTTTCTTGGGTATTTGGAGGAGGATTGTTTGTTTGGTGTTTTTTTTTTTTTTTTTGGATAGAGTCTCTACTGTTTCAGGAGAGGTAACATTTTTGCTTGTTACCACACTAGATAGAAAATTCCACTCTGGCATTTAAACCCCAGGGAGAGTCATTTTCACCCAGGAAATATCTGGATAAGCCTGAGCAAGCACATAGGCTAGCTTCAACTATTTCTCTAAGGAAGGCAAGCAAAGATCAAACTTGCTCAGGCCACAAGCTTTGACTGTCGCTCCTGGCCACCCTTAGGAGGACTTTTTCCCATTAGAGAAAGAGCCCTAGCCCCCCATTCAGGTCAGGACTCTTTTACCAATAAGTTGGAAAAAGTTAGGAAGGAAGTAACATCTTCAGGGCAAAGATATTCCAGGTTTCAGCTAAGTTGGGAAGTAAAAACAGTACTAAGAAAACACAGAGGATAAGAATCATAAACTTTTGTCAGTTTTTTGCAGAATGTTTTTGTCACATTATTTTATATATTTAGCTTCCAGTGAATGGCAATTTCATGCAGCAAAACCAAAAGGGTTAATTAAGTAAGTAGAGGGGAAGA